TATTAATCGCGTGCTTCAATTGTTAACGGGTTCAGTGCATGAGCTTGATAACTGGAACCAGTTACACGTGGATTACATTTGAGTGTCTCTGTTTAGGCATACCACGCTCAACTTACGCACTGCACATGTACACTATGTGCACTAAGTTACCTGCGATCGAAGCACTCTTTGAGTGTGCCCGTTCCCATCGGCGCGATCGGACTTGGACAACGAAAAGGTGGAAATCGTTGGTCACGTGACGTTATCATGCCACGTGACGCCAAATTGACGTCAAGTGGCCTGCCAACAGATGCAACTTTGAATTTTTTGTGTGGCCCTCTCGAAAAAAAATAGGTGTAGCAACCTGTTGTAAACAATTGCCCATGTTATTTACTGCAACATGTTTTGTTTTTCATTTTCCCACAGAATATAAACCTTGCACCGATGAGACTTCATGAATTTCCTCCAACACTGATACCGAAAAGGGAATGATTTAGAAAATTATAATAAACAGATGTTTGCCTGAATTGAACGTGAAAACTAAAAAAATAAAAATCTTCATTACGATTTCAAGCTGCCCTGCTCCAGAGCTCAGAGCCCTCCGCTAATCAGCTCTTGGGTGAAATTGCCCGTGAAGTCACAAAACTCGCTCTAAAAGGTATCAGCCCAAGGAAACTTGCTCCGTTTAAGGCCGTGCTTATTTTCCCAGTTCTCTTCACTCATTTCCCTTTTGCTACACACGCACGCACACACAAACGCGCATTGAAAAAAAGGGAACTTTTTGAATCCGTGTCAGAGAAGCAAAAAGAGCAAGCGAGACAAATGGGCCGCTAGAGGGAAGAAAAAAATCGACTTTGTTTGTTTCAATATTTACGAAACTCGCCCTGTTGCCTGCAGACAAAGGGCAGTCGCCATGTCACGGTGGTAGAGTGGTAGGGCCCAAATTAAATTCGTCTAAGAAATATTTTTTTTGACGAGACGCAGAGCCACGATGTCACGAGGCGGAATGCACAGGACATCGTCATCGGCCGCGATCTCTCCACTGCTGGATGAAGGCCTCCCCCGAAGCAGCCAGCCGCCACCTAGCGAGATGATTTCAGTGTTCCGTCTCCGCGGCTGACGTTCCTATCGGAGTTGGGGGGGGGGGGTTCCTCTCTGCTGCCACCGTGAGTCTGGACCACCGGTCGGTCGGTCGATCGGTCATTGCTCCCAACGACGCGTTTCTGGCCCAAGCTCACTCAGTTTTCTTTACGGTCAAAAATGAATAAGTAAAAAGATTACGTCTTAAACCACCACGCGCGCTCCTCCTTTTGGAGCCGAATACGCTTGCGTGAAATGATAAACAAGCCTCGTTAACCCACCGCCACCCCCGACACATCCAATGAGTATCGTTTGCCACGTGAACAAAATGTGCCAATTAGTTACCACTTCAGCACACCGGTTGCGTGCTGGAGAGTAAGGCCACGATATTTACAATTCAATGACGGCGTTCCGCAGGTGATTACGACAGCCGGCTTAACCAGGCGATTTGCCAGAATATTTACGCGATCTAACCCCTAAAAATACCTTGATTATGAATAATATTTGTCGCGGAAGCCTACGTGTTACACTATGAACGAGTGTTTGAAGAAAAAAAATTCTCTAACAAAAAATAAGAGAAATGTAATATAATTTATTCGTAGAGTAGTGTCAAAACACAACCGCGACCTCAAGACGCTGTACAGACACGGGGGGATATTTATTTTATAGCGAGGCAGTCATTAACGGCTACTTTACTCAGTAAGAACTTCAAATACACAACCGTATGGATAGACATAACTCCTACAAAGGAGATCTGGCAACGCTGCATAACACCCATCAGGCCTCTGTGTTCAACATTTGTCATCTGCAGCAGTAGCAGCAGCTGCAGCCACGATCAATGTATTCCTTTTTTACTAAAGGTTTACGTGGACATTTATTTGGCTCAATCATGGAATGATACATAAATCGTCCCTCCATTCAAAACAAATGGACAACTCTGACTTAAGTAAAACATCTGCCGTGCTGCAGAAACCGCCAAAAATAAACACGTTTTATCAATAACACCGTGGCCTTGAAAAGGAAAACGAATGTTTAATAGGGGACGTTTCGCACAATGTCTGTTCATCACCGCCTCCTGCATAGGCGTTCGCAGTTTTGCACCGAGAGCGTTGTGCTGCACGATGTCCGACGTTTCGCTCCACGGGCTGGGGAACTTCTCGCGACAGTAGTGCGACCGTACCTCCGCTCCCGTATCGCAAATAAAAAACATAGGCGCGTTATCTTGAGAAAAAAAAAAGTTTTGGAAAAGAAACAAACTGTCTCCCGTCGAAGCCGAAACGAGAAGTGCATCTGCTGCCCATTAGTGCGGGGTCGATGGCGTGGAAAGCCCTGAGTGTGGTAACCTCGTGTGTGTGCGCGCGTGTGTGTGCGAGTGTGAGCGCGCGTGTGCGCGTGTGTGCGAGTATGTCCGCGTGTGTGCGAGTGTGTGCGCGTGTGTGCGCGTGTGTGCGAGTATGTCCGCGTGTGTGTGAGTGTGTGCGCGTGTGTGCGCGTGTGTGCGAGTGTGTGTCCGCGTGTGTGGCCCCCCGCAAATGAGTGGCAGCCTGCAGCACGGGTCACGGCGGGCGATGATGAGACAACAGCGAGGCCACACAGCTTTTCAACACTTTACAGCAGCAACGCTAAATCTAATTTGGGATAAACGGCGCGACTGCATTTGTCTGCCCCGAGGCTCATTTTGCTCCTTTCCACACCACACCACCCCCCGCTCCCGTCCCAGACTGCAGATGGTCGTTGGTCGTAGGAGGATTTTTCTTTTTTTTGTTGCAAATTATAAGTGAAAACAATCTCCACCTGTTTAAAAAAAAACGCATAAAAAATTCGCGAGCCGTTTACGTCCGCGTGTATTTGCGCAGATCTGAACCACATTTCAAATTCCGCGTGTCCTCGAAATCCTGGGGGTAATTCGGGAGGCATTGTGTGTCCCCCGGTTTATCCACGTCCTTAACAAACCACAACGTTCTTCGCACGAAGACCAAATTCATCCCATTGACAGATTTATATATTGGAACAAACAAAAAAAACACGTTACAAACTCGAAAGCAATATGAAAGAAATCTAAACAAAACCCCGTGAAAACACCGAAAATTCCAAACCAATTCACGGACGCGCAATCCAGCTGTTCGTGGTAGTTTCCCCTCGAGTACCCAGTGCCACAACTCGTACCTACCAGGCAGCGAGGCCAACGCCTTCACAGCGCGGCAGATGCAACCTCGCGCAACGCGTGAGCGTTCCTATTTCGCACGGCGTTAGAAAGCCGGCACCGCGATGGGTACGTCCAAGTTTGTCGGCTCCGCTCAAACGGCTTCCCGAGACCACGAGCCGGAGGAGAGGAGGCGCCTCTGCCAAACACATCTCAGCGGGCGGGTCGATGCGATGAGTTCCACGGCCTGGGACTCACGGCCTCGGTCAACTACACTGGCAGCGGTAGGGGGGGGGGGGTGATGGGGGGTGGGGGGTCACATCTCTCATCGTCACCGCCTGACCCCACCGTGTGTCCCGTCGTGCCGATTCGGTTGAGCGGCGTCCACCGTCTTTCAGGAACCTCCGCTGCTGGGTCAGCGATGAGGTGCTGCTTTTTGAATGTTACCGACGATTCGCTGTTTAATGTTTCAGCTTTGAGAGTGCTTTTATTCCCCCCCCCCCCCAAAAAAAACTATTTGTTCCAACTTTGTACATTTTTTGAGGTCTTGAGGCCTGTTTGACCATACTTCACCACGCGGGTGAGTGCGGGTGGGTGAAGAGTGAGGAGGCATGAACTATTCAGATGAATATTCTTAGTTCTTTCGGTAAAGTCACGTTGGTAAAAAAAATGAAATTAAAATTAATAAAAATAAAACAATAAAAATCACGACGTTTCGGAGGCAACACAAGTCTCCGTCATCAGGTGGGACCGTCACAGCCACCTGATGACGGAGACTTGTGTTGCCTCCGAAACGTCGTGATTTTTTTCGTTTTATTTTTATTAATTTTAATTTCATTTTTTTTACTTACGTGGCTTTACCGAAAGAACTAAGAGTATGAATCCTTGCAGTCACGAAAGCTTCAAATCTAGAAATATTCAGATAAAGCTCGCCACCGATGTTAGCTGTGGCCGGGAAACGAACTCTGCTCACCGGGTACATAAATGCAAGGAATGAATGACTCTACTGCACCACCCCCAACATTAAACTGTGTGTTTTAAATGACCACCAATCGAGTTAGGTGGACACCACAAGAAGCTACTACGTGATAAAAATAACAATTTTGGAGTAAACAGACAGGGCCTTTGATTCTGCTCTGCATGGCACCAAAGACAAAGGTGCCTCTATTGGGCCTGAGTAGGCTGTTGAGACAAGAGGTATTGATGAGCAACCGATTAAGACTCGTTAAATGTCGCGCAGGCACGCAAACAGGACCGGGCTCTCGGGAAAACACTCTGTGCAAATAAATACGGACAGAGCCTAATCACTCGATCAACACTGCAACTCACGGGGGGCAACGCTACTTAGTAAGAGAGCGGGGCACACTTATTGAACACAGATTAATACAGATTTTTTGTTTTGTTTAAAACACTACCCACGTGCACGAAGCGGTGGTGCATGCGCTGCACTATTAACCTGACGTCCTCGGTTAGATTCCCGACCAAGTGTTTGAATTCACAATGACCGCACCGCCATTCATAATGAACGGTCAATATGAAATAAAATACTGACTGGGAAATATATATTTTTTAGCGGAAGAGAATTGCAATAATCGAGTCAATGAGAATTCGACCTCGGCTCCGTGACGCAAGAAAAGTTGGGGCTCACCTCAACATTTCTCGGCCGTTTGCGGCATCAAATCACGTCGGCGGAGAGAACTGAAGACACAAAGCGGTGCTCCTGAGAGCACGCACGAGCGCCGAGCGGTTCGGTCGAACTCACTCGGGCCCCGTGTGCGCGTGCGTGCGTGCAGAGTACCCGCATGGGGTGGATGTCGGCGTAGGGCGGCTTTCCCTCGGCCATCTCGATGGCGGTGATGCCCAGCGACCACACGTCCGCCAGGCAGTTGTAGCCCATCTCCTGGATCACTTCGGGCGCCATCCAGAACGGCGTTCCGATCACCGTGTTCCTGCGAGCCATCGTGTCCTGGACGGGGGGACAACGGCCGCCGTGAGCACGTGGCTGAGTGCAGGCAGTGCAGCTGCACCGGGGGTGCGGTGTGGTGGGGGGTGGGGGCTAATATTGAGGTGCAATTTTATTGAGGGGCTGTGGCTGTTGTTGTTCTTGTCTTTCTGTGGCCTGGGACTGTTGTTGTTGTTGTTGTTGTTTTGCCGCCTTGCACCAAGCTTGCATTTGGTGTTGAAAATTTGGCAGGAATTAATAGACTTTTGCAATTTGGACTTGTATACTTTATTTATTGCTTATTTACGTTCGTTGACTTACTTACCTTTCCCAGATTTTGCACTCACATCGGCTTTGTATTGTTTGCTGTTGTAACTTTATGACCCGCCCCTACTGGAGATCTGTGCGAAAGAGCTTCATAGCTCATCGGATTCCTCCAGGATAAATAAAGATTCTGATTTTGCTTTTGAATTGGCCGGAGGGGGTTCTAGGGGCCGGGGCTAAGAGCACCAGGGAAATCAGAGCCCTAGGCCGCGGTGGCGAGATGTTAACTATCTCGCCTGGTATGCAGGAGGTCGTGGGTTCGATCCCAACCCTGACGCCTGCTGCTGTATATTTGGAGTTTGCGTGTCTCTCTCTCTCTCATCATCATCACGGTGGCTATGAGATGTTAACTACCTCGCCTGGTATGCAGGAGGTCGTGGGTTCGATCCCAACCCTTACGCCTGCTGCTGTATATTTGGAGTTTGCGTGTCTCTCTCTCTCATCATCATCACGGTGGCTATGAAATGTTAACTACCTCGCCTGGTATGCAGGAGGTCGTGGGTTCGATCCCAACCCTTACGCCTGCTGCTGTATATTTGGAGTTTGCGTGTCTCTCTCTCTCTCATCATCATCACGGTGGCTATGAGATGTTAACTACCTCGCCTGGTATGCAGGAGGTCGTGGGTTCGATCCCAACCCTTACGCCTGCTGCTGTATATTTGGAGTTTGCGTGTCTCTCTCTCTCTCATCATCATCACGGTGGCTAGGAGATGTTAACTACCTCGCCTGGTATGCAGGAGGTCGTGGGTTCAATCCCGACCCTGACGCCAGCTGTATATTTGGAGTTGCATGTCTATCTCCCCGTGGTCAAGTGGATTTTTCCTCTGGATCATCTGGTTTTTCTCTCCACATTTAGAATCAACGTGCGTTTAGAGTATTGGCTACTGCTATACATTTGCACGTGATAAGCCACTTCTTTGCGCTATCATTTGTGATGGTCAGATCGCTTCTGAAAAAGAGCTATATTGCTCAGCGGGGCTTTGCTGGTAACATAAAAACAGTAGTTATCTTTACATAGGTTAAAGTAAATACATTCGAGGTTTGACGATTATGTATTTTCCTGTGACCGTCTTAAGTCGGTGTTGGGAGGAGTTTGTCACAACGGGGCCATGTCGGAGCTGCTCCGAGACTTTGGAACGTACGATCCCCCGTGTGCTTCGAGACGCTCGCAAGTATGTTTCCGTGTTTTATATCAACCACGTTACGTCGCCGCTCGCCAAGTCGAGCGGGGGGGGGGGGGAGCAGCAGGGTTCGTCACTCGCTCCGAGGCCCCAGTCGTACCGCCGCTCTCTCCTTCTCGCACGCCGGCGATGTTGTCGCCGCCTGACCGCGAATTGTGACGCGACAATAAAGCGTGGCGACCAACAGCCGATTGTGTTCCGTGCATGCCGTGCGCGTGTGCGTTTGGCAGGTGCTGGAATTAAACAAAGAACTTGACAAAAAAAATGTCTCCCCGCGCCCACCCCGCTGCTGCTTATAAGTTGCTTTTTTTTTAGTCGTCTCCCCACAGGGAGATGCTACCGCAAAGCGAGAGGCGCGTCGCACGCAACGGTTGCATGTGCTATGTCACTGTCTGGATTATCATCGAAGTCAGATGCCACCGTGATAAGAGCGAGCACCAGCTGACGAATCTCCACCGTTTTGCCCAGGGGAGAGTCACCGAGCTTCAAAGCACTTCTCTCCAAAAGGGGTTCAAACATTGGGATGTTTGGTCAAGTCCACGAATGGGAGTTTGGCACGTGGGAGGACAACTGGAGTTACCGCACATGCTAGGGTGAAGCGCTCGGCACCTCACAGATAGATTCAACAATCCATTGCTGCACTTACATCTGCTGGGCACATCGCGGACCAAACCCTGCCTCGCCATGAAGATCTGTCCAAGTGCTCACCAGGCGCCCAACTTGGGTAGCTGCTGAGATCCGACGGGGCAAATTCAGCGTGGCGTGAATAGTAAGCTGTGCTTAGTCCTGCGATTAAACTGGAGCCCTGTCAGCGGAACGGGGAATATCCACGACTGGCACAGGTCACGTTCACCTGCCACCAGTGGGCATGGACTGAAAACTTTCCAAATGCGTGACCTCTCTCCCCCACCCCAAAGAAAGCCACGGTTTCGGCCTGCGCTCGCTTAAGTCAATCGCCGCTGCTACACAAACGCAGGCGGTTAATTGGGTCGCTCGAGTCCAACTTACAATTCCCTGCTCGTAAAGGAATGCTGTAAGCGGTCAGCGCACCACACGCACGCACGTAAAAAAACAAGCCCCTGCACCGCTGGGCCTGGCCACGAGCGTGGATATAGTGTTACCAGCGAGCATGGGAGCTGGCCTGCACCCAACTTAGGGCGCAGAACCCGAGCTAATGGTTATGGAGCTCCGTTTAAAAGGGTGGTTGACGGGGGGGGGGGGGGCGGGGGGGGGGCACCATGATCGTTAAAAGTGAGAACTGCCGGGTGGACGACGGCTTGGACGGGTGGACGGGCTGGACGGGTGGATGTGCGCATGAGTGAACGAGTGGATGGGTGGATGGGTGGACGAGTGGATGGGTGGATGGGTGGACGAGTGGATGGGTGGACGGGTGGATGGGTGGAAGGGTGGACGTGTGGATGGGTGGACGGGTGGATGGGTGGAAGGGTGGAAGAGTGGACGGGTGGAAGGGTGGACGGGTGGATGGGTGAACGAGTGAATGGGTGAACGGGTGGATGGGTGGATGTGTGGATGGGTGGAAGGGTGGAAGGGTGGACGTGTGGACGTGTGGACGTGTGGACGCCACCTCCCCTGCCGCCCAAAACTCACCGTGAGCTGGCCCGCGACCCCAAAGTCGGCGAGTTTGCTGTGGCCGTCGGTGTTGAGCAGGATGTTGCCGGCCTTGATGTCGCGGTGGATCTTGCGCTTGAAGTGCAAGTACTCGAGGCCCTTCAGCGTCGACTTGAGCACCGTGGCGATCTCGTCCTCGCGCAGCTGTGACACACACACAAAGACAAAGGTCACCCGTATAGCCTTAACAGACTGTTGGGGCAAGGGCTGTTAGCGAACAGCTCCCATGCCAGGCCACCTCGGTCTCCCGAGTGACAATGTTTGAGCGCTGCATTGGATACTCATTTGAGGTTGAGTCGACCTAAGGGAGGCCCAGGACCGGGTTCAGATAATCGTCACTGACGATAATCGTCAGACACACATGCACACGCACAGTCGTGCCATTAAGTTAATTTTTTTTTTCAAAATTTGTTGGATACCTAGAAAAACAACTGGAACCCTTCATGTTAGAGAAACATCTGCGTAAATGGATATCACAGAGTTACCTCTGAGATCCCTTCAAGTGACTTCTGGTCCACACAGTAGCGAGCAGAACCTTGCCAACCGCTCTGCCAGTGAGGGTAACGTTCATCGGGTGTGGAGCAAAACTGATCTTTTTCAAATTCTCAGAACTGATATTTAGTAAAAAAAAAGAAAAGTTTGGAACCTTATTTTTTGTAAACGTGTATTGGCACAATCATCGATGACCATCAATAGTCTACAACCGAGAACCTGGTTTAATAATTTCTTCAGAACTGCTTTTTGTGTTTCGTTTGTTGTCCTTCCCCCGCACCACTGATTAGTACGGTTGGCTATGTACAGTGCGAAAGAAGTTCAACATACAGGCGGCTGCCTGGATTCAAACCCAGGGTCTCAGCGGTGCGAGCCGGGCGGCACGGCTCAGGGGTTAGAGCATTGAGCAATCTTCAATTACAAATTGGTCAGCCCGGGACACGGAGCCGAGGTGGGTATCTAAGAGATAAAGGGGCTGTTTGTCTTTTTGGGCTGAGACTTCCTTTACGATCCACAATTAAGTCAGTGGGGTTTATTTTTGTCGTTGACAGCGCAGTGCAGAGCTGTGACAACCACAAACGAAGCCGCCGCACCTCAGAATTAGAATATTTATTCATAGCGGAGGAATCCGATGAGCAATAAAGCTCGTTTTCAAAGATGTGCAGTAGGGGCGGGTCAGAACTTGACAACTACAAACAGCACAACAACAGAATATGAGTTACAAGTATAGGAAAGGTAAGCAAATCACTTAAAATATTCAATGTAATTTAACCAGTTGTTTTTATCTTGCCAGGTAAAGCCCACTGACCTATTAACTTGTTTTCCAGAAGCACAAATGATAACTCAACAAAGTGGCTTATCACGTGAAATTGGATAGCAGCAAAATAATCTAAATTCATGTTTCCAAATGTAGAGGGGAATAGTGGAAGACCCGGAGAAAAAAATCCACACGACTCAAGGAAGAACAAGCAAACTCCAAATATACAGGCATCAGGGTCGAGATCGAACCCTCGAACCTCCTGCATACCAGGCGAGGACGATGACATCACACCACCAGGTAGAGAACACACTTTCCTAGTTGCCATGGAGGTGGCCGACTGGCTCAGAGGGTGGCACCACTGCACCAGCACCAATGAAAATCTGAGATGGATTCCGGGTTTCAGCCACCCGTGATGAACCCGGGTGCCGCGGTGGCTAGGAGATGTTAACTGCCTCGCCTGGTATACAGGAGGTCGTCGGTTGAATCCCGACCCTGACGCCTGCTGTATATTTGGAGTTTGCATGTCTTACTCCCCGTGGTCGCATAGAATGTTCTCAGTGTCCTGCGGTTTCACCCTCCATATTTAGAAACGTGCGTTTAGAGCATTTGGCTGCCATACATTGACATGTGATGAACCACTTCGTTGCGCGATCATTTGTGGCCAATGTGGCTTCTGAAAACAGCATAGCTCAGTGGGCTTTACCAGGTAAAATAAAAAAAATAGTTTATAGTTTAGTTGAATCGAGCGTATCGAGTTGATGGTCGCAACTTGGTCACCGATAAATGCACGAAGCTGGGGTGATCGGGTTGACTGCGCTGGCCACCGTGATTGTGGAACTCCTTACCGCTGGAGATCAATCTCTTGGATAATGTTGATATACTTAAGTCCCGACTGAAAAGCTTTCCTTTACAAAATATATTCACCGACTAGTTGCATTTCTCTTTGGCGGTTACTTTGCCACCCGGAGACGTAACGAACTTAGCTTTAACTGACACGAGACGGACAATCTATGTTGATGAAGAGCTATGGTTGAAGTTGCTTCAGAGATCAGGATCTGCCGTACCATCTCCCAGCGTCTTTATCCGACACAGGGTGCTGCACTACGACACCACGAACAGCGAGAGTTCTGAACAGAGCGTTTCTGCATCTTCATCACAGGATGCCGATGGCACGATCAGCACGGAATTGAGAGACACGAATACGAATTTCAACGCATCGCGCAAAAAAAAAAGTGTTATTTTTTTTGTTCGCGTCGGATTTTTGTCGTTGAATTGCACGTGGGCACGTGCGTTGAACTTCTCTTGCACCATACGCGGCCAACCGTGCGAAATCAGAGGTGTGGGAAATTCACCGACGCGTGGAAGGCAGCGATGTTGGCAGCGGAGAATGAGCTCTGCGCAATGTGCTCCATGGCAATTACGTTCACTCGGGCCACCATCTATCACAAAGGACGTGTACATCTGGCTGGGGAAGAAAAATACATAACCCCCCCCCCCCCGCCCCACACACCACCATCTCCCCACAATTAAACAAACGGGAAGCAGCGTGGGGAGAGCCTTGGTCCTGACCGGTTTCTCTTATGAAAAAAATTCAAACGGATCCATTTAACCGAGGTCATAAACCTCACAACGGCAGGAAGCGCTGGGGAAATGCACTCCCCATGATTTCCCCCACCCCCTCCTCCTCCTCCTCCCCTTCTCTTTTCTGACCATTTTTACGAAAAAAAATCTCTCTTTTCAACCGGCGTTATGTGGCCAAAAAAATATATGAATCCCAGCTGAACGTCGCGCACCAAAATGCGAGCATGAACTCGCAAAATTATTCCGTCGAGGCCTTATAAAAATTCTTACGAAAACGAATTGAACAAAACAAGCCCCTCAAGTTCTGATAATTGGCTTGAATTATGTCCGACCATGACTCATGTTTACGACTCGTACATGTGCGTGCGTGTCCACGTCCACGTGCATACTCAGCTTCGGAGGTACGTGCATGCATACACTGTGAGTATATTAACACGTAGGCTTTCGCGACCAATTTTATTAATAATAAAGGTTTTTGGGTTAGATCGCGTTATTTATAAATGTGTCGTAACCCTCCACCACCCGACACGGCCAATCAGCAAAAAAGTGTCACGTTGACAAAAGACAAATAGTTCACTGCTTTAGCCCACCGGTGTGTTGAAGAGTGAATCCACAACATTTTCCATTTTTGAATAACCAGCGTTTCGCTGATAATTACATCCAGGATCATTAGCAAATTGCCCGATGATGCTGGATGCAATTGCCAGCGAAACGTCGCACTCAAAAATAGTAAATGTTGTGGATTCACTCTTCAGCACACCGATGGGCTAAAGTAGTGACCTATTTGTCTTTTGTCAACGTGACACTTTTTTTACCGATTGGCCGTGTCGGGTGGTGGAGGGTTACGACACATTTAAAAATAATGCGATCTAACCCAAAAACATTATGAACTGCGTGTATATATATAATTCGTACAATTCTCTCCTTCGGAGGTATCAGTCAATATGCATGCGCATGCTTGTAACAGCATGAGGGAAACGCGGTGTTTAATTTGTAACCTTAGAGTCACATTTATTTTTTAAACGCCGTTCTCATACGTGCCAGATTCGCCAGATCACGGACGCGAAACTGTGGCTGAGCCACCTTAGCGCTTGTATGGGCGACTGCCCATGCATATCAGGTGCTATAGGCTGATGCGTGTCTACACTTTGGGCAGTAATAGCGCAGCAAAACTCATCGTTGTACTGTACTTCGATGCACCCACACCCGCGCTCCCCGCCTGCGCCAACGCGCCCCGCGCTGACCACAGCGGCGAAGTATGGTTAACGCATTCTCGTTCACCCCCCCACCCTCCTCAGCTATATAAACCTTTGTCAAAGCCATCTCTTTGGCATACATCAGCAACTGTTTTCGCTGTGGTGGTCCCTACCGGATGAAGGATGCTTGTGTTGCGCCCGAAACGTGGTGATTTAATTGAGTTCATTTTCACTTTTGTATTTTTTATTTTCTTTTCTTATTATTTTCACCTACGTGACTTTACCGAAAGAACCAACGAGCATGGTTAACGCAACCCGCACAAACCCGCATGGCCGTGGGTGGCGCTCATCCAGCGGCGCCCTCACCTATTCGCGTGCACGTCAATTCTGTCCAGAGGTTCAGTCTCGGGTCACAGATAGACGGCCGTCAAGCCGTCCGACAATCAGCGGCGTGGTGCTTGCGATGCTTCTGTCGGTGCTCAACACTCCGATGGCAAATGCGGCTCGGGGGGGTGGGGGGGTGGGGGGGTGGATACATTGCGCAGAAAATGATGTCGATGTTTATTTATTTTTTGGGGGGAATATCTGAATTTGAACATCGCGGAGGAAGACGAAAAAAACAAAAAACCGGCGTGGGCCGAAGAGGCGGTCAATGACGTTTGGCATCGCCGCTGTTAACGCTCTGAATGTTGACGACGGTCAGAAGTGTTCGTGATATCGGGGGCTTTTGTAACTGAGTTGTTTTAATGTTTTCTTACGATTATTACCGGTGGGGGGGGGGGGGGGGGGCTGTACATATATATTTTCATAAACCTAATAAATCTTACACGGTCTCCACGATTCGAAAACATTGCTTCTTTAAAATATGGCCTCTCCGTGACCCCCTCCTCCCCTCCCCACACCACTCGCCCGCTCCCCCCCAACCTCCTTGCTTACCCGACAACGGCTATCGCAGCCGGTGTGCTTGTTAGTAAGAAAGCCCTGCTGCTGCTGCTACTGCTGCTGCTAAGCTGCTGCTGCTGTTAAGCTGCTGCTGCTAAGCTGCTGCTACTGCTGCTGCTAAGCTGCTGCTGCTACTGCTGCTGCTAAGCTGCTGCTGCTGTTAAGCTGCTGCT